ACCACTTCGCCCTGTTGAAAGGAGATGGTATCTTGCATTTCACCACCTATCCTGCTACCTCCTCCTTCCAAGGGAGCAATGCCACATCACCGAGACATCAGGGAAGGCTCCTCCTGCAGCAGCAGCAGAAGCTACTTTCTGCTGCAGCACTGCACATTCCTAGAGGGGAAAGGGTGATCTGCCACTCCTCACTCTCCTCAATATACACCTCTACCCCGATATAACGTGGTCCTCAGGAGCCAAAAAAATCTTACTGCGTTATAGGTGAAACCAAGTTATATCGAACTTGCTTTGGCCTCGAGCATTTCCGTTATTAAGTCATTTCCCACCCCGACTGACCCCTCAGAACCCCCAACCCATCCAACCGCCCCCGCTCCTTGTCCCCTGACTACTGACTCCAGAAAACCCCCCCCACCCCAACCACCCCTCCCAAGACTCTACCCCCTATCTAAGCCCCCTGCTCCTTGTCCCCTGACCGCCCCCTCCAGAGACACCCCCCCATCCCTAATCACCCCCAGGACCCCACCGCTACCCAATCCCCCTGCTCCCTGTCCCCTGACTGCCCCGACCCCTATCCACACCCCCGCCCCCTGACAGGCCCCCCGGGACTCCCACGCCCTATCCAAAGCACCCGTTCCCTGTCCCCTGACCGCTCCACCCTCAGAACCTCTGAACCATACAACCCCCCTGCTCCCTGACTGCCCCCGAAGACCCTCTGCTCTTTATCCAAACCCTCGGGCCCAGCCCGGCACCCCTACCACGCCATTCAGAGCGGCATGTTGGAGCCAGACATGCTGACAAGCTGATCTGCCAGAGCGCGCAGCCCCACCCCCAAGAGCACTGCTTTACCGCATTATACCCGGATTCATGTTATATCGGGTTGCGTTATATCAGGGTAGAGGTGTATTAGGTTTGCTTCTGGAGAAGCTGACAGAACCCATTGTCAACAGATCCTACAATTCACCTGGCCCAGAGGCCATCTTTCAGTCATCCCCATTGTCACAACAGAGCTGGACTCACCTTTCTGCCCTCTTCCTTCCCTCACCCTTTGACCAGAGCACATTAGTTTCTTTCCTGCTAGGAAAGCCTCCATCCTGCCAGCAGTTACCATCCATGCTTTTCCTCCTTTACTAAAGGTGCTGCTGGAGGCCCAAATCTCCCTCCTCAACAAGCAGATGTGGACCTCACTGAGCCTGCCATCTACAATCACACCCTATCAAGTGGCCCAGCTTCACTGGTGCTGGGAGTGCCACACAGGGACAAGTAGCTGAGATTTTAAACATTCTGCTAGACTTCCTCTGTACCCAAGAAATACTGAAGACTAAAAGAGAGCATCCATTGCAGAACCTTTCTGTTGAAAGGAAGTTTTGAACATGCAGGGTATTGGAGATGATCCCTATCCTGTGGAGCCAAGATCTTTGCCACAGGAACTTTCACCTATTGACAGTACCTCCTCTTAAATGAATGTTACTGGTAAAATTGTAACGGGAATGTTTGTGAGATTCATGAGAGGTCTATAGGGGCTACCTCACCCCAACCCCAGCAATGGGGGATGCAGCACCATACAGGCATGTATACAGCCCATTCAAAGTCCCCCAGGTATTGCCCCTATAAGATGTTGGGATAAGTCACACTGATTGCTGCTTCCCCAGCATTTTTGCACATGGACATAAGATGTTTTGCAACTGAATCAGAGGGATGAATGGGGAAGATTTCTCTAATGCAGACAAAGCTCTATCCCAAGAGAGATCTGTTCTCCAGAATAGATCCAGCCTTTCTTTAATCAAGAAGCTGCCCTTGGTTAGCAGTCACTACTATGTTTCATTAACAATGAAACACTCTTCTAGCAGGAACATGCCACATCCCGCAGGAACGTGCCAAATACAAAAAACTATAGGAACCCAACACTGACTCAGAGCATGCCTTATAATATGAGGCTTCACCCAAGATCAAAGCATGAGGCCCTGTTTGACCTGATCTTCTATAACTGTGCATCTAATGTGAAGCAATGCAGAGACATTTTCACATATATTAAGGAGCTGGTCCCACTGCCATTTAGTAAGCTGGGAGAAGCACTGTAGTATTTCACTACATGAAGTGCTGCCTTTTTTAAGTAGAGTTAGAATTCTGACTGGATTCATTTACCAATTTCATCCACCGCTAGAATCATTTTCTCCAGTTCCTCTGGACAGATATCGGGGCAGTGCGTGAAGCCGAAGTAGATTAACACCCACTGGCCCAGGAAGTCCTTGTGGGTCCTGGGCTGTCCCTGGTGATCCACAAGTGAGAAAGGGCCTCCCAGCAATGGCTTCCCAAGAGCCCGCTTCTGCTCCTTCTCCAGCACTGAAACCAGACAGCAATGGGAGGTTACTACGAGCTGTGCCACACACGAAAGGGCAAAGGATCCCAGAAACCATTCAAAGACAGTTTGAGTCATAAGGCTCTCAAAGGCAAATATTCCTAGTAGTACAACAGTAATGTAACATCTTGAATTTTAAAGCCCACTGCAAAATATAAACCCAGGACTAGACAAGACAACTTTATAGTAAACAAACAGAACAGTTTTTTACTGCGATATTTTTCCATATAAACTATATCCTACTGTGCTCCAAAAGGAGCTTATCATCAAGAAGGCACTGAATGCTCATATGCTGAAATCAGGAAACATGAACTGGGATGGAACACCTGCAGTTAAGAGTCAGGCATCTTCTAGAGACTCAAGGGAGGAAGGGAAATTGCTGTGCTGCCACGTCTAACTGGGTTTCAGTATCAAGACAAGGAAAAAAGAATTAGGTAAGTGCTTAAAAAAAGCATACAGGGGTTAAAATCAGAATTGGGAATCTATGCTCTTAAAAAGTCTTACACATACTTCCACACCCTGGGGAAACAGACACACACACTTCCATTCTGGGCTTTTATATTCTAATCTTGTGTAATGCTTTCATACCACGATAATAGGTACAATATAACAACTTAAGATAAACCAACAAAACTACAAGTTTTAAAAGAGAACTTTAAAAGAGCAAAAAGAAATCAAAACAAATGTAGGAAAAGTAAAATACTGAATAAACAGATAACGGTATAAAATATGTATATATGCACACATGGGGTAAAAATACAAACTGACAATCAAAGAGCAAATGACCATGAGTTAAACAGCTAAATGGAAAGGATACTAAAACTACATGGGTAAAATAGGTCATAACAGAAAAAAGAATGTGCAAAAAGTCTTGTGCTGCATCTTATTTCCATGTATATTTAGACCAGAATCTCTTTTGGACAGGGAACTGCCATCTCATGTGTTGATGAGGTGTCTAGCACACTGATAGGTAGTGTGCTAAAATCAGCATTTTCAATCTCTCCTAATTGTCCCCCTTAAAAGCAGCAGTACCACAACTAGCATGGCCACAAGATCTTTTTATCTGCACAGCTATAAAGGCTTGGAAGGGGAATTACAAAGGTTTTGGGATGATAATGTAATATATACATACTGTCTTCCTTTTTTTTCTTGAAGTATTTCATTCCTGCCAATAAAGCTCCACCAATTGCAAATGTGAGTGCCAAGGACTTCCAGGAAACTGGCTACTAGGAGAAAGGTTTCAGAGTAACAGCCGTGTTAGTCTGTATTCGCAAAAAGAAAAGGAGTACTTGTGGCTTAGAGACTCTAAGGTGCCACAAGTACTCCTTTTCTTTTTACTAGGAGAAAGATTCCATACAGATTAAACTTCACCATCTTTAACTAAATTTTTTTAAAACATAGAAAAGTGCTAAGTATGTGTTTATGAAATAAACACCCAGCTCTTGCCATATGACAAAATACCTGTGAGATCAACCACAATCCTGTTTGAAAAACCAATCCCCAAAATCCAAACCCGGGTACTTTGTAAATGCAGCCACCGCACAGAGACTATCAACATAGGAGAGAAATTCCCGCTATGGCTGCCACAGAGGGACCCTCCCCACCCTCGCTTCCCCCTTCAGCAGGAGGGCCGGGCACCGCTTGCTACACACAAGGAACATGAGGGAGTTTTAGGCCTTAGCCCGCAGCCCCTCTTTGAGTTTAGATTAAGGACATGGATATGGCCGCCATTGGGAACGTGGCCTCCTTACCCCGGGCTTCGAGGGGCCCGTCTTCGCTTTGTCTCCCTGAGGTGCAGTAGCCAGGTGGCGAGTCACCGCCAAGGAACCGGGGAGATCCCAGCATGAGGAGCGGCGAGCGAGGCTGACAGCGAGCAGCTACAGAGAGACACGAGGTGACCAGGAGGTTAAGGTGCGAGGCTGCTCGGGGGGCGCAGGCGGGGGCCGGCCGGGAAGGGAGGGGGGGGCGCAGGCGGGGGCCGGGCGACGCCCGCCGGGGCGGGGAGCAATTGGGACAGGGCGAGGCGCTGGCCGTGGACACCTGCCCCCAGATAGAGTCAAGCCGGGTCAGGCTGCTCAGAGCTGGGAGCAGGACCCCGCCAGGCCCCAGGGGACGCGACTTCCCGGACCGGAAGTTCCCCTCACCGGTCGCCTCCACGCGCCCCTGCGTCCCGGAACGTAGAGTCCCAGCGCCCGGAGCAAAGATGCCCGCCCGGCCGCCGCCATCCTGCAACCGGCGTCAGAGCCGACTAGCCCCGCCCCCCGCGCCGCTTCCGACGTCAACGCTAACTAGCCCCGCCCCCTCCCAGCTTCCGGCGTCAGCGCCAAGTGGCCCCGCCCCCCGCGCCGCTTCCGGCGTCACCGCCAACTAGCCCCGCCCCCTCCCAGCTTCCGGCGTCACCGCCAACTAGCCCCGCCCCCTCCCAGCTTCTGCCGGCGTCCTTCAGTTTCCGTCCCCGCGGGCGCCGGCTGGCCGCGGCCACTGGCCGTAGCGTTGCCAGTTCCGGGAGCTCTCATCGCATGACAGCTCCACTGACAGATTAATGTTTAGTTCCTGGAGACTCCAGGACAGTCATGGCGGGCTAGTAGCCCTAGACCGGGGCCAAGCGCGGACAGAGCCAGGTTCGTAGTTCGCCGGCTTGCTCGGTGCGGAGGGCCCGGAAGTGGGCTGGGGGTCCGGGCTAGGGTTGCCACCTCTCTAGTTGCTGGTAACCGGACCCCTGAGGTCCCGCCCCTGCCCCGTCTCTTGCCCCAGGGCCCCCAGCACGCACTGGATTGTCCCTCCCCTGCCCTGGGGCTCGAGGGGGAGCTGCTGCAGCCCGACAAGGAGCCTGCCCGCCTGCAGGTAGGAGGTGGCCCCAGCGGAGAGGAGCTGGGGTGAATGACCCGGCGCCTCCCCCCTCCCTGCGTAACCGGACTTTTGATGTCCGGTCAGTACATCTGCCTGGACACTACCAGGTCCCTTCTCGACCGGACTTTCCAGTTGGAAACATTGCAGTTGGCAAAACTTTTTTCCTTGGGAAACGGGTTAGAACTAGAAACAACATCAGTTGAAGGGTGATGTCACTGTCCCACATTACAGTGGAATGACGTCACGCCAGAGATTGTGGAAGTGACATCATAGCATGGTGACTTGTGTTACCATGACAACGTTACTATGATTGTCATTTTAACCCTCCCGTTTGGCCCAGAACAGATGACCAGCCACTGCCCCCCCACTAGGCCTTGCTCTTTCCCAGAGGCTGCCCCTGCCCCATGCAATGCCTGGCACCGAGCCGAGGCACAACCTGTGGCAAACGAGGCTGGAACTATGTTTCCACAACTGACCTGGGGTCCTGGAGAACTGGGCTTCATCCCTGCCTCTGCCAGAACCCCGCTTAACCAATCAAACTAAACCCTCCACGGCTGGCCTCTGGCTGCATGATGCACCTTTCTGGGTGCCCAGCTTCAACTGCTGGAGCCCTGGTTTGTAGAAGTTCTGAGCACAGTACTGGGAACCTTGTGTGTTCAAAAATGATGAATCGGCCCTCAGAAAATCATGAAATTGGCTTAAAAATCATGAGAGTTTTAAATATAAAAGTTGGATTCTTTTTGCCTTCTGGTTTTTAAGCCATTGGGATTCCCAGCTTCAAGCTTTTCTCCTCTACCATGAGAGCTAATTGTCTTTTAAAATCAGTTCAAGCTAATCTGGGACCACATTCTTAATAAGTAGGGTTTATTTTTTAAACTCAACCTTAAGTCTGAATTTCTGGGGTTGGTAGTGCTTATTTTGGGGATAATTACAACATCCGTACAATGTTTTTACCCTTAAATTACTGATACATACTCCCAACTTGAACTCTAGTTTAACTAGTTTTTAATCTGGAAATGTCACATACTGAAGGAATATTACATGACTATTACTGTACAAACATGCAATCCCCTGCCCCCTCTGCCTTTTTCAAGAGTGGCAGGCTCCTAGTGCTTCTGCTTTTTTCTGAAGTGACAACTCATGCCAAAGAGTTCTGCAGGTCTCTAGCTGCATAAAAAATGAATCTGGAGAGATGTCTCTGTTTCTTCTGGGTGTTGGAGCTGATTTTATTTCTTTTAAAGCACCCAGCTTTTTTTGAACTGAGTCTTTCTTCCTGCATTAGATTTTGGGAGCCTGGTTGACAGTTATGGATGCAACTCCTACCTGGGGATCTGGAGCCTTGACCGGCAACTCCGAGATGTGCTTTTCCTTTGGAGTCATAGCAGATATTCAGTATGCTGATCTAGAGGATGGTTATAACTTCTGGAGGTCCCGGAGGAGATACTACAGACACAGCCTTCACCTTCTCCAGAGCGCAGTTGATGAGTGGAATAAGGAAGACAGTCAACTTGAATTTGTACTGCAGCTTGGGGATATTATTGATGGTTTTAATGCCCAGCATAAAACATCAGAAAGTGCTCTGAGAAGAGTTATGAACAAGTTTAAAAAGCTTAGAGCCCCAATCCATCACACATGGGGAAATCATGAATTGTACAACTTTACTAGAGACTATTTAACAAAATCTGAACTTAACAGTAAGTCTTTAGAAGACCAGATCTTCCTTGGCTCTGCTGCCAGAAGCCAGGACTCTCCTGGAGACACTGCTGAAGAACATTACTATGCTTATCATTTTAGCCCAGTCCCAAAATTTCGGTTCATTTTACTTGATGCTTATGATTTAAGTATCCTTGGGAGGGATAAATCGACCCAAAAATATCAGGATTCTTTGAAGCTGCTGAAGGAGAAAAACCCAAATGAGAATCTGAATAGTCCCACAGGTATTGCACTGCCTGAGAGAGATTAACATGTGTTCCCAAAATTCTGCTTCAGATAATATTGCTCTTCATAGTAGAAAGACTGATAATTAATGTAAGATATGTTACTAGGTGATAAATCAGTGTGAGCTTCGTTTGATCCTACAAACCAGCCCTGAGTAAGGGTATGTTCTTTTCCCATAATATACACGCAAAATTCCCACTCTTGGGCATCAACTTACTTTCTTAGCTCTTAGATTTGTCGTGTGAGGTACTGGCCATTAGGCACAAGTCTCTTCTTCGAGTTCTATACCAAGACATCATTATCTTCTTTCAGTCAGGAAAACTTCTTTGGGGCAACAGTCCAACGTGACATATGCCGTTGTACTCACCCCTTTGTTTAAAAGGCATTGTCTTTGGGTCACCCATACAGTTTCCAGAGCAAACTTTGACTGGGCAGTGTATGTTCAATGCCATCTGAATAATCTGTTTCATTCAAATAACTCTCCAAGGACTAGAATTTCATAGATTCATAGATATTTAGGTCAGAAGGGACCATTATGATCATCTAGTCTGACCTCCTGCACAACGCAGGCTACGGAATTTCACCCACCACTCCCGCAAAAAACCTCACACCTATATCTGTGCTATTGAAGTCCTCAAATCGTGGTTTAAAGACTTCAAGGAGCAGAGAATCCTCCAGCAAGTGACCCATGCCCCATGCTACAGAGGAAGGCGAAAAACCTTCAGGGCCTCTTCCAATCTGCCCTGGAGGAAAATTCCTTCCTGACCCCAAATATGGCAATCGGATAAACTCTGAGCATATGGGCAAGATTCATCAGCCAGATACTACAGAAAATTCTTTCCTGGGTAAGTCAGATCCCACCCCATCTAATATCCCATCACAGGCCATTGGGCCTATTTACCATGAATATTTAATTACCAAAACCGTGTTATCCCATCATACCATCTCCTCCATAAACTTATCAAGTTTAATCTTAAAGCCAGATAGATCTTTTGCCCCCACTGCTTCCCTTGGAATGCTATTCCAAAACTTCACTCCTCTGATGGTTAGAAACCTTCGTCTAATTTCTAGTCTAAATTTCCTGGTGGCCAGTTTATATCCATTTGTTCTTGTATCCACATTGGTACTGAGCTTAAATAATTCCTCTCCCTCTCTGGTATTAATCCCTCTGATATATTTATAGAGAGCAATCATATCTCCCCTCAACCTTCTTTTAGTTAGGCTAAACAAACCAAGCTCCTTGAGTCTCCTTTCATAAGACAAGTTTTCCATTCCTCGGATCATCCTAGTTGCCCTTCTCTGTTCCAGTTTGAATTCATCCTTCTTAAACATGGGAGACCTCTCCACACGAGCATTTCTGCTTGGGAGCCAGCTGTACCTTTGTCACAGAGGATGATAAGTTTTAACATTCTGAGTATGCTCTGTGGTGCCATTATAAGTGCTGCAACGCCACATACAAGAGAGATTCAACACCTGAATTTTTTTCCCCCAAGACTTCTTTTCAGGGACGCCCCACACGGGTTTGTGCAATGACACTCAATAAGTACAATCAGATGCTTTAGCACAAATTACAATAGCCAGTTGAGCACAGTGTAAGGCATGTGGACAAGAAAAGACATCAGCAAGATGGGGGAAAAAAAATTCCAAAATTTCTGTGATGAATGATAGAGGCAGAACTTTTTTTCAGTGACAGTTTTGTTTCTTTTTTCACCTGGAGAACCACTGACCTAGATTTTGATTTGGAACTGACTGTAGTCCTTAGACTATGTCTCATTTCTTTCTAGACACAGAAATGTTTGAAGGTCATAGAGGTACTCTTTCAACTGATACTGCCTGACAATCCTGCAGCAAAAATCTTGGTAAAAGCCTTGTGTGTTTCCAGTTTACAAACAGCTGCATACTTGTTCTGACATACGTTTATTGAGCTTTTAGTGCCCTAGCATTAAAAAGGCCAGTCTCCTGGAGTGACCCCTTTAGTATGCCGGGCGCCCAGGACCGACAGTCCACAGAGGCAGGCCTATGCCCTCCTAGGCAGGGCCTTCGGCACCAGCTAGCTCTGTCTCTGTACATGGGTCCCTTCAGCAAATCCAACCAAGCCAGACTCCTGCAGGAGGCTTGTACTGTCCCTTTTAGAACACAGGGCACTCAGTGAGTTACAGCAATACCGGCAGTCATTTCAACACAATTTATTAGTCACCTGGCTACAGAATCTAAAAGTCCTTAGGTCAGCATAGAGAAATGAAAGGTAAAGCACAGCCCATTCTGGTTACCCCAGTGCGCAGCCAAGCTGTCGTGAACCCCATGCTCTGGCTCTGGCTCTCCCTCTCAGGCCATGTCTACACTACAAAATTATGTCAACCTAACTTACGTTGGTGTACAGGCACTGCATTTATTAAATCATTTATGTGTGTGCACACCTGGCTCCTTGTGTCAGAAGCGTGTGTTCTCACCAGGAGCACTTGTATCGATTGTATTATCAGTGGGGGGCATTGTGAGATGAGTCCTGAAAGCCAGAAACAGTCAACGTAAGCAATGCAGTGTCTACACTGACATTTTGTCGACTTCATTACGTCAACCATGACTACATTGCTCGGGGAGCTCGTGTTATTAAATCGACATAGAGAGGCATTTCTATGAGCGGGAATCACATTTACGTAAAGACACTTCCATAGCTAGGCCGACACAAGGAAGCTTACATTGATCTATCTGTGTAGTGCAGACAAAGCCTCACTCTGACCTCTTTAATCAGTTCCCACATGAGAGTCCAGACTTCTAGAAACTAACCCTTTATTCCCCATCTCACATCTCTTTAGTCCTTTGTTCTCAAGCTGTGACCTTTGCTCAGCTTCCCAGCTGAGAGGTGGGAAAATCCATCTCCCTCTGGGTCATTGGTTGTTAGATGCCAGCGTCCTGGAGATTGGGTTTTTCATTGTCTTCTTGGATTTTCCATTGATCTGGGGTCAGCTTCAGCAAGTCCTTTTTAAGGGCCCATTCAGGCTCGGACAGGTAGGCAACACAGACATACATCTATGTCTCTTAACCTGCCCTAAGAGCAAACTTAGTCCTTTTTCCCCTACTGGGTAGCCACGCAAAATGTAGGGAAAACTTAGGCACACACAGAATTTATAAAAATATTTCAGAAAAGTCTCACTTTGTCACAACTTAACTTTAGCTTTGAAAGAGAATATGGGATCACTTTTAGTACTTCAGAGCCTATAGGTCAGCTACGGAGTATGCTCTGTCTTTGCGATGTTTCTTGATTGGGCCTTATTCTTTGCTGTACCCTCCCACTGTTCTTACTGCTACTTGCAATACATTTATCAGTTTAGCATGAGACATCATTGAGCTGTTTACTGTTCACGAGTGGGAATCCTATGTGTAATGCATCTTTAAAGATGGGCAAATTACTTCTGTAATTCTGCTTTTTTGAATATATCACACCAGATTCACCCTTACCTCCCCTGGGTTTGCAAGTCTGTCCTAAAAGGGTGTGTTGCTGTAACACCTTAAAGTTATTTCCATTCAGGAGATGGCCATTATCTTTTGAAAAATTCACACTCATGCTTTTGTTTAGTTTGCATTTTAGAGGAGCCATTGCTTCTCTCCTGTAGAGGGTACTAGACAATATGGTTGCCAGGCGTATGGTTTTCGACTGGAACGCCTGGTCAAAAAGGGACTGGGCCGCTGAGCGAGCCGTCAAAATTCTGGTCGGCGGCATAGTAGGGCTAAGGCAGGCTCCCTGCCTGTCGTGGCTCCACATGGCTCCTGAAAACAGCAGCATGTCCCCCGCTCTGCCTCCTAGGTGTAGGGGCAGCCAGGGGGCTCCATGTGCTGCACCTGCCCTAAGCACCACTCCACAGCTCCCATTCACCAGGAACTGCGGACAAGGGGAGCTGTGGGGGTGGCGCCTGCAGATGGGACAGTGCGCAGAGCTGCCTGGCCTCGCTGCCGCATAGGAGCCAGAGAGGGGACATGCCGCTGCTTCCGGGAGCTGCTTGGAGTAAGTGCCACCTGGAGCCTGCACCCCTCACCCCCTTCCCAGCCCCAACTGCCTGCCCCAGCCCTGATCTCCTGCCCCTCATTTCTGACCCAATCCTGGAACTCACATCCCCAGCCCAGAGCCTGTACCCCCTCCCACATCCTGACCCCCTGCCTCAGCCCGGAGCCCCGTCCCATACTCCGAACCTCTTGGCTCCACCCCCCAGCCTAGAGCCCCCTCTTGCACCCCAAACCCCTCATCCCTGGCCCCACCCCAGAACTCACACGCCCAGCTAGAGCCCTCACCGTCTCCTGCATCCCAACCCACTGCCTCAGCCTGAAGCCCCCTCCCACATCCTGAATTCTTCATTTCTGGCCTCACCCCGGAGTCCGCACCCCCAGCCAGAGTTCTCACCCCCTCCCACACCCAAGCCCCCGGAGCCGGCATGGTGAAAATGAGCGAGTGAATATGTGTGGGGGAGAGCGAGCGACAGGGATGGGGGATGGAGTGAGTGGAGGCAGGGCCTCGGAGAAGGGACGGTGGCAGGGCAAAGGTGTTCAGTTTTCATAGAATAACAGAGTTGGAAGGGACCTCTGGAGGCCATCTAGTCCAACCCCCTGCCCAGAGCAGGACCAATCCCAACTAAATCATCCCAGCCAGGGCTTTGTCAAGCCTGACCTTAAAAATTTCTAAGGAAGGGGATTCCACTACCTCCCTAGGTAACGCATTCCAGTGTTTCACCACCCTCCTAGTGAAAAAGTTTTTCCTAATACCCAACCTAAATCTCCCCCACTGCAACTTGAGACCATTACTCCTTGTTCTGTCATCTGCTATCACTGAGAATAGTCTAGCTCCATCCTCTTTGGATCCACCTTTCAGGTAGTTAAAAGCAGCTATCAAATCCCCCCTCATTCTTCTCTTCCGTAGACTAAACAATCCCAGTTCCCTCAGCCTCTCCTCATAAGTCATGTGTTCCAGACCCCTAATCGTTTTTGTTGCCCTTCGCTGGACTCTCTCCAATTTCTCCACATCCTTCGTGTAGTGTGGGGCCCAAAACTGGACACAATACTCCAGATGAAGCCTCACCAGTGTTGAATAGAGGGGAACGATCACGTCCCTCGATCTGCTGGCAGTGCCCCTTCTTATACACCCCAAAATGCCATTGGTCTTCTTGGCAACAAGGGCACACTGCTGACTCATATCCAGCTTCTCGTCCACTGTCACCCCTAGGTCCTTCTCTGCAGAACTGCTGCCTAGCCGTTCGGTCCCTAGTCTGTAGCAGTGCATTGGATTCTTCCGTCCTAAGTGCAGGACTCTGCACTTGTCCTTGTTGAACCTCATCAAATTTCTTTTGGCCCAATCCTCCAATTTGTCTAAGTCCCTCTGTATCCTATCCCTACCCTCCAGCGTATCTATCACTCCTCCCAGTTTAGTGTCATCCGCAAACTTGCTGAGGGTGCAATCCGCACCATCCTCCAGATCATTAATGAAGATATTGAACAAAACCGGCCCCAGGACCGACCCTTGGGGCACTCAGCTAGATACTGGCTACCAACTAGACATGGAGCCATTGATCACTACCCGTTGAGCCAAACAATCTAGCCAACTTTCTACCCACCTTATAGTGCATCCATCCAGCCCATACTTCTTTAACTTGCTGACAAGAATACTGTAGGAGACCGTGTCAAAAGCTTTGCTAAAGTCGAGGAATAACACGTCCACTGCTTTCCCTTCATCCACAGAACCAGTTATCTCATCATAGAAGGCAATTAGATTAGTCAGGCATGACTTTCCCTTGGTGAATCTATGCTGACTGTTCCTGATGACTTTCCTCTCCTCTAAGTTCTTCAGAATTGATTCCTTGAGGACGTGCTCCATGATTTTTCCGGGGACTGAGGTGAGGCTGACCGGCCTGTAGTTCCCAGGATCCTCCTTCCCTTTTTTAAAGATTGGCACTACATTAGCCTTTTTCCAGTCTTCCGGGACTTCCCCCAATCGCCATGAGTTTTCAAAGATAATGGCCAATGGCTCTGCAATCACATCTGCCAATTCCTTTAGCACTCTTGGATGCAACGCATCCGGCCCCATGGACTTGTGCACGTCCAGTTTTTCTAAATAGTCCCAAACCACTTCTTCCTTCACAGAGGGCTGGCCACCTCCTCCCCATGCTGTGCTGCCCAGTGCAGTAGTCTGGGAGCTGACCTTGTTCGTGAAGACAGAGGCAAAAAAAATGTGTGAGTAGAAAGTTGGCAACCCTACTAGACGAAGCTGTGGCAGCTGTAATTCAACACAAGCAAAGGACTCATGTCCAAGTGCCAGCTCAGAAAGCCACTCATGAAGTTCTGGCCTGTGTTCTGCTAGGCTGCTGTGATGCAAGAGTGGGAATCCTGCGTGTGTGGCATTGTCAAAGCAAAATTACTAGTAAATCATTTTCCCTCATTTACTCATGAAGACTGAATTTTTGGAGGCACAAGATACATAAGAGCCTGTCAGGGGAAAGGAAGCTGTTTATCCTAAGCACAGATGTCCATAAAAAACCAAAGCAGGTAGGGAAGTAGCTATTTGGTGTGTGTGTGCTTGACCTTTCTTCATTACAGGACTTGCTGAACCCCAATTTGTAGAGTTCAATGGAGGATTTAGCCAAGCACAGCTGGATTGGTTCAATGAGGTTCTTACATTCTCTGACACTAATCAAGAGAAAGTTGTGGTTGTGGGTAAGTCTGCTTTTTGTATGTGTGAATGCATGTGAATTGAGACATCTGTGAAGGAATAAACCCAGTGATAAACTGATGGGATGCTGCACTTACTATAGGGGGTACTCCAATTTTTTCCGCTCATAGGATTTCCTACCAATACTTTATATTCTAGAGTAATTCAGTTTCCCCCTCACACATACATTTTTTCCAGAACAGGAGGAGGAGAATGTGCTGGACAGAGGCAAGAAAGGGGGCTTCAGATTTGAGGGGTCCTAGGTGGGGGGGGGGGGCAGTAGGCTGCTGCAGGGTATTGGAAGTTGCTGTTTTAGGGGAGCTATGGGGGGGAGGGATAGCTCAGAGGATTGAGCATTGGCCTGCTAAACCCAGGGTTGTGAGTTCAATCTTTGAGGGGGGCCATTTAGGGATTGGGGCTCTGGGCATGTGAAAGGCACTGTGCACCAAAAACACTGATCTGCTGTGGATCATGGAACAGCAGTAGCCACAGTGGGAGCTCTCTTCCTCTCCTCTCCCTGGGCTTTAGTTGACACCTCCACATAACTATGCAACTGGGCTGTGTGCCAAGCCAGCTGCACAGCCAGAGCAAGGACATGGCAACTGAGCTGGCTGACCAGCAAAACCAGGTACACTCACTGAGGACGCTTCATAACTGGAGCAAGGACGTGCCCCACCCTGAAGCTAGTAACCATTTTACATCTGGTAAAGAGTGATGAGAACATTTTACACTATATGAGCTTTGTGAATAGAAGTGTAAATCAGAATGTTTTTCCAGCAGGGAGTGCTATAGGCCCCTCTGGAGGCCGCCATTATGATGTTCAGGCTTTGTCTACACTGCATCATTTACAGCCGTGAAGAGGCTCTACGGCGAAATAACTCCTGCTTCCGTGAGAGGTGGTCGCTGTGTTGGCGTGAGAAGCTCTCCCACCGGCATAGCGCTGTCTACACTGCTGCTTAGGTCAGTATAACTTACGTCGCTCAGAAGTGTGGATTATTCACAACCCTAAGCGATGTAAGTTATACTGAAGTAATTTGTAGTGTAGACATAGCCTCAGTGCGCAGTTTTAGATTTGATGACCCAAGGCAATGGTCTTGTGAGCATAACTCAGCTGGGATTCGGTACCTAGATACCTTAGAAATACCTGAGAGATAGGAGTACTTGTGGCACCTTAGAGACTAACAAATTTATTTGAGCATAAGCTTTCATGGGCTAAAACCCACTTCATCAGATGCATGCAGTGGAAAATACAGTAGGAAGATAGATATATATACACACGCACAAACAGAGACAGAGAACATGAAAAAATGGGGGTTGCCATATCAACTCTAATGAGACTAATGAATTAACTAATCAACTAATAGCCCACCTTAATTGATTAGTCTCGTTAGAGTTGGTATGGCAACCCCCATTTTTATGTTCTCTGTATATATCTTCATCAGATACATGCAGTGGAAAATACAGTAGGAAGTGGGTTTTAGCCCACGAAAGCTTATGCTCAAATAAATTTGTTAGTCTCTAAGGTGCCACAAGTACTCCTCGTTCTTTTTGCTGATACAGACTAACACGGCTACCACTCTGAAACCTGAGAGATAGAGAGCGTTCTCATTATTCCATATGACTGGACATCCTGTGTGCAAAACCCCAAACTTAAAGAAAAGTTCTAGGGGTTTCACTGCCCCCCAAACCCCTAAGATTCCAGCATCCATAAGCGATTTCCAGATGGGGAGATGATATAAAACACTCTTATCCGGGGTTGTCACTGGTGATGTCTCTTACCATTATTCTGCTTTTTTTCCAACTGCAGGTCACATTCCCATTCATCCAGGTTCTACAGGGAGTGTTTGCCTTGCTTGGAATTATAAAGATGCCCTTTCCGTCATCCATTCTCATCAGTGTGTGGTGTGCTTTCTCGCAGGGCACCTCCATGATGGTGGTTATTATTTAGATTCTCACGGAGTCCACCATCTTACTTTGGAAGGGATTGTTGAAACTCCACCACAGAGCCAGGCCTTTGGAACGATATATGTCTATGATGATAAACTGGTATTAAAGGGAAGAGGTAGAATTCCAGACAAAGTAATGTATTATACAAAGCATTAGGATCATTGTAAATACAATTGTGCGTGATCCAGACAGTGCTCTGGAAATTAGTTAGTTTAGTAAATAACAGCTGACCATTGCAGCCATGGTGTTTCTGTTTATAGAAAATCTGCACAATGATGCTTACAGCCTCAAGCCTGATCAATAGAGCCTCAGTGCTGCCACCTTCGCCTCTCGGAGCTGTTCTCTTAGAAGCTTTACTTCCGCAAGAAACAAGGCCTAGCTTCCTGCTGTAGGGCAGGGAAGGGACAGCCAACAACTCGACTCAGGCTGAAATAAATGCAACTTGACCTGGACAACTTCTGCTTGAAAGAGCTAAGAGTGAACAATTTGTTATTTATTGTGGCACAAAAGACACCAACAGCGTTAAAGGGTATGTGATAACACTAGCAAGGAGTTATTAGTGCATCTTTATTCGTCACACTGTGTTATGAAATGCAAATCTTATCCCCATCAGGTGTGATTCAGCTTCTTTTCAAACACTAACATTGATGATATTCTTCAGCCTGCCAGTAGTTTGCTTCCTGAAATCAGCAGAAGTTGTAGATACCCTGCACCTCTAAAAACCAGATTCCTTTGAATGTTTTTGGTTTTTTGTCTAGGGAGTGGATTTACGATTTTATAGATGAAATGCTCAGGAACGTTATCCCTGTCACCTCAGGAAAGGATGCAGAAATAAAATTTCTAGATGCCATTAATGACTTCTTCTTAGATCTGTTAGTCCTGTAACCCACAAGGGGAGAGGCAAGTCTTGATTAAGTCCTCAGTGAAGCACAGGGTCTGTTCCAAGACGGGAATATAACTGAACCGCAAAGTAATAGTAAGAGGCCATAATGTAATTAAATTTGACATCCTTGCAGGGGGAAATATGCAAAAGATATCCACAGTCGCATCTATCTTCAAAAAGGGGAACTACACAGAAATGAGAAAGCTAGGTAAACAGAAATTAAAAGGAATAGTCACAACAGTGAAATGTCTGCAAGCCACATTGAAACTATTTAAAATACTGTAATAGATGTTCAAACTAAATGTATACCCCCAAATAAAAAAATAAAACAGTAAGATATGCCACCATGGCTCAACAGCAAAGTAAAAGAGGCAGTTACAGGCCATAAGACATCCTTTAAAAATTGGAAGTGAAATCTTACTGAGGAAAATAGAAAGGCGCATAAACTCTGGCAAGTCTAGTGTAAGTGTAATTAGGCAGCCCAAAAAAGAATTTGAAGACCTGCTAGCAAAGGCAGTACATCAGATGCAGAAAGCCTGCCAAACAATCAGCGGGGCCACTGGACAATCAAGGTGCTAAAGGAGCACTCAAGTAAGAGAAGGCCATTGAGGAAAATCTAATGAATTCGTTGCATCAGCCTTCACTGCAGAGGATGTGAAGGAGATTCCCACATGAGCCATTCTTTTTATGTGACAAATCCCACATTGAGGTGTCAGTAGGGAAGGTTTTGGAACAAATTAAACAGTAATAAGTTACCAGGGTCAGATGATATTCATTCAAGAGTTCTGAAGGAACTCAAATATGAAATTGCAGAACTGCTACCGGGCAGGTAGTTTTTGAGTGGGGTGAAACCTGGGGGTATGGAAGACAAATCAGACTCATGAAAGGGGTACAGTAGTCTGAAAAGGGTGAGAGCCGCTGTCTTAAATTACAGTTGTCCTAAGTCCTAATCGGGGTTTGGACAGCCTATTGTTAGATTCTGACAGTGTTGGTGGGTTGTCTTGGAAATGTGTTAATTAAAATACGAGAGAACCAATATTTACTTAGGGTATGAACACAGTTTTATTGAATAATTCTGTAGTTAGGAGGGTCTGCATATCATTCATATGCTTAATTATTCTAAAAAATAAATGCATATATAGATATATAGTCCATGAGCATTTTTTCAAAAAGCAAGTGCAATAAGCTAAATATATTGGAGTGGGGGGACTTTCAGAACAAAAATCAAAATTGTACTTGGAAGCTGTTCATCCCACCACCCCATTAGGCAGGTGGTGTTTAGCATGATGATGGCACTTTCTTCTAGAAGACTTTTTGCTTGAAGTCCTGTGATAGGTCTCACCTGCTCTATTCATAAAGTAGGACTGTACTTTAAACCAATGGTTGTGGTAAATTACTACTAATGGAGAGCTTAAATTATTTTTGATAGCTGGTATGGGTAAAAATATTAAGTTAAAGTTTTGTTTAGTTTGAGTTAAAACCTGATTAAAAATAAGTAGTGGTCAAAAGCACCCTTTTTCTTTTGTTATGAAGGCCACTGTTAAGAGTACTGCTTCATACTGATAAGTAAAATAAGCTATTGCTTTGATTTATTTTGTCTGTGATGCAGAATGCTTCTAGCAATTGGCTTCTCTGGAGCACTGTGCCCACCCACCCTGTCTAAATTTGATGCAAGATCACATGTATCCTATACCTTCACAGCCATCTCATTTCCACCCATACCAGTTATAAAAATTGTTGAACAAGAGAATCTTGAATGCTCATGACTGTGCTTTCTTCATATACCACTTTCACTCTCATGCTATCACTGATCAGAAACTGATGAAAGGCCATGCAGTTCTCATGAGTTTTTTTTACTTTGCTTCTATTTGCAGTGTTGTGAAAGTGGTACGTACAGGAATAGTACAATGAGATTGTCTGCAGTGGTGGAGGGAAACTGAAGGTAGAGAGAAGAGGTGGTGAAGATTATTGGGTGAACAGGTGGGAGAAGACAAAACTAAAGAAGGGGATGACCAGTTGTCTAGTGCAGTATTTCCCAAATTCCCAAAGATTCTAGATGGATTTCCCCATCCAGGGCTGGATTAACCCATCACTGGGCCCTGGCCTGGGCAAACATATGCTATTCCTGGCCCACTGTGGGTGGGAGGTATGGAGCAGAGGGAGGACGGAGAGCAAGCCCACCCTGCAGCAGCAGCTCCTGTTCTACAGGACTAAGCCCAGTTCCTTGCTCTGGTGATGAGACCAGGGCATAGCACCACTTAAATTTGGCCTGGCCATCCCTGATTGATGCTGTGACCCTATGCTCCAGGTCACAATGCCACTCAAATTTGGCCCAACTGGCAGAGGGGAGCCTCCCATAACACGTGGAGTGGGAAGCCAGTCCCACAGGATAGGAGCAGCCACAGTGAGGTCAATGAGGAGCGGGGTCACTTTCCAACCCCTTCCTCTCAGGCCTTCCCTCTGCATTGTGCCTGGATTAGGGTTGCAGGGCTGGGGGAGAGAGGACATATATGTAATGGTGGGTCATTTTAAAAAAAGACAAAATGGAGTTGGTGGGTCGACTTAACAAAAAGTTTGGCAACCACTAGTCTAGCAATAGTATATCTGGTTCTCTTCTGTCTGAGCCAACTGTGGATGGAATACTCCTTTGGGAATGGGGGCTATGTCTTGTCTCCCCTTCTAGTGACCTCCACCTTGCCCAGACTAAAGGAGTAGCACAGTAATAGTTTTAACCTGGCTTTATTTTAAAAAAAAAAAATTAGACTAAAGTTTTGACACTTTGCTGAAATCCCAGCATGTATCATTCTGTGATGACATATTGAGAGGACCTCTTTAGCAAACCATACAGTGCCATTAGAGCCTAGTCCCCTCCCCTTCTTCTTTTAAAGAAAAAAAATAGCCATGTATGTATTATGTGCCACTTAGAGCCTAATTAATGGAATTATTTAGCATTTTTTTTAGTTTAGCGTAAGTTTAATTTTACATGAACTGCAAAGATAATACTTAAAATTATGACAGATTCTGTTGGCATATCATATGTTGGCATATGTTAAGGGCTGTTATAAAGGTATGTTATAAATAGATCTCCGTGAATCAGATTAATGTGCAGCAAGGGAGAGCTAGGTAATATATTAGGGGGATAACTTTCTAACTGTAAGGATAGTTAAGCACTAGAATAGATTTCCAAGGGAGGTTGTGAAATCCTCATCATTAGAGGCTTTTAAGAACAGGTTAAATAAACATCTGTCAAAAATGGTCTAGGTAGACTTGGTCCTGCCTTAGTGCAGAGGGCTGAACTAGATGACCTCTCAAGGTCCCTTCAAGCCCTACATTTCTGTAAGTGTGGTAATGTAGCCTATCGCTTAAATTAGCCTCTCTACCCGATGACTGGAGGAAAGCTAATGTAATGACAATTTTTAAGAAATGCTTCAGAGGTGATCCTGGCAATTACAAGCTGGTAAACCTAACTTCAGTGCCAGGCAAATTCTTTGAAATTATAGTAAAGAACAGAATTATCAGACACATAAATGAACACACTATATTAGAGAAGAGTCAATATGGTTTTTATAAAAGGAAATCGTGCCTCACCAATCTATTAGCATTATTTTAGTGTATAAAAAGCATGAGGAAAAGGTGATTCAGTTCATATAGTGTACTTGTACTTTCAGAAAGCCTTTGACAAGGTCTGTAGTGAGGCAGAATGGCCTCCCTCTGGTACAGAGGGGGTTAACTTCCCTTGGTAGGCACAGCTAACCCCCCCTCGCTCACAGGAAGTATAAGAGCAGGGCCCTGTACCTCAGTTGGGGCTGGACCAGAGAAGGAGGCAGATGTCCCTCCCAGGGAGTTGAGTCCTCAGCTGAGCCTGTGACCGGCAGCAGAGAGAAAAGGCAAACCACTGCCCCAGGAGACAGGTGGAAGGGCTGTCTGACCACAAGTCTGAGAGCCAGGTCCAAGTGATGATGGAGCAGCGCCAGCAGGAGCCCCTAGGAAGTAGCGCAGGGAAACAAGAAGTTGGTCTGGTTGTACTGCTGAGACGTGAGGCAACAGTCGCATGTGTCGTCCGATGTTCGGCTGCGTGCATGTGTTCCCTCTGTGTGCCGCACTGGCTCTGACCAGATAGCCTGTATAGCAGGCTCCGATCAAACTGCCCAATAAGACCACCAGACTTGGTTTAGGCCAGGTTTATTACCAATGAAGCATGGTGCTAATGCCCCGGGCTCAATGATTACAGGTACACTAACACGTATGCCCGTGATAATGGATGCAGCTGTCAGTGGCGGGACTTTCCACTGCCCCCTCGGCTGGACAAAGACACTCCCTCTGAGATACATCTTTATGACACTGATACAAACAAGTTACGCATCAGCTTTGATGTAAGGGAGAAATAGAGGTCTATAAAATCATGCATGGTGTGGAGAGAGTGATAGAGAAGTATTACCCCTTCACATAATACAAGAACTAGGGGTCACTCAATGAAATTGATAGGCAGCAGGTTTACAACAAACCTAAGTACATCTTCACATAATGCACAAACTGTCGAACTTGTTGCTAGGGGAAGTTATGAAGGCCAAAAGTATAACTCAGTTAAAAAAGCATTAGATACGTTCATGGAGGATAGGTCCATCAATGACTATTAGACAAGATGGTCAGGTATAATACCCCATGCTCTGGGTGTCCCTAAACCTCTGCCTCCCAGAAGCTCGGACTGGAAACGGGGTGGATCCTGTTCTGTTCATTCCCGCTGAAGCATCTGGCACCAGCCACTGTCGGAAGACAAGATACTGGGTTAGATGGACCCCTGCTCTGACCCAGCATGGCCATTCTTATGGATTTAAGTACTTAATGTTAGGAACCTTGTTTTGAACATTTTTGTCTTTGTGGACATGGGCACTGAAACAGGAGTGCCAGAACAGAGAGGGCTAGAGGGCCATGGTCCCATCACTTTTAAAAGTGGGAGGGCTACACCCTCCCTCTTTACTGGCTGTAAGGTCAAGCAATGGGGGGAGGAGGGAGCAAGCGGGGCAGGGCCTCGGACGGGAAGGAATGGTGCAAGGGCAGGGCCACGGTTCAGGCACCAGTGTGCCCTTCCCCATTTTTAGGGAGCTTCCACTGCTCCTGCATGGAGAGATCTGTGACCTTGTAAGGGAACCTGTGTATATAAAGTCTGCTGCAGTTTCCACGGTATACATCTGATGAAGTGAGCTGTAGCTCACGAAAGCTCATGCTCAAATAAATTGGTTAGTCTCTAAGGTGCCACAAGTACTCCTTTTCTTTTTGCGAATACAGACTAACACGGCTGTTCCTCTGAAACCTGCTATTCTTGTGTCACTGTGAGATAACGAAAATCTTGACAGGTGCCAGAGAAAGTGGAGGGAGTACAAACCCACCCCCCTGGGTGCAGGATGCATGTTACTGCACATGTCAGAGTCCCATTAGAGTTTCCTCAATACTACTGGGGAAGAGGAAAATGGGCCAGATTCTCACCAGCTTATCCTGGTGTAAAACTGGAATAAATCTGTATCTTGCTGCATTTACTCCACATTTACACTGGCGTATGCAAGATCAGAAGGTGGTCAATAAGCACGTTTATAAGCCTAACAAAATTCTGAGCTAAGCCAGTGGTTCTTACACTGGGTATGAATATACTGCACTTAAAAACCCATGGCTCGCCCCTGTCAGCTGACTCAGGCTTATGGGCTGTTTAATTGTGGTGTAGACGTTCAGGTTCGGGCTGGAGCCTGAGCCTTAGAACCCTCCCACTCCCAGGGTCCTAGAGCCCAGGCTTCAGCCCAAGCCCAAATGTCTACACTGCGATTAAACAGCCAGAGCTTATCAGCTGACATAGGCCAGTTGCAGGTGTCTAATTGCAGCATAGATATACCCCCTGAGCTATGCAGAGCTCCTTTTTCAATGAAGCTGTGACAAAGACAGACTAACACGGCTGTTACTCTGAAACTTGTAATTAGGGGATTGTGTCTATATACAATTTACGAATTCCCATTTAATATTATAAACTCTCCGTATAGATTATCAATCTATAAATGCCATTTTGATTGTGAGGCTACTCTGCCTTCTCTGCTGACCTTTTACCTTCATCTTGGACAGAAATTCCAAGGACTAACAATGAAGGGTTATTAAACCTTGACTAT